GGTAGTCGTTGATAGAGTGAGTGTCCATATAGAAACAGGGGAGCCGCTGCAACTGTCTGATTCTTCTGATGGAGGAGCTCCAGAGTTTCAGCTCCTTGGCATTGAATTTGGTTGAATCCTCAACTAACTATTTCTCTTTTTTAATTCAATGATGATCCACAAATTTCTTTCTTGTATTTGATTGAGAGAAGGGATGTAAAACGAGTTTGGCTCGTGGGTTGGTTCGTGTGGTGGTCCACATTTTACGGAGCCGAATTTAGAATATTTGAGTTCAGAAAAAAAAACGGATCAAACAAGTAAGTCTTTACGAGTTCGATTCATGGCTAGCGGACCCACGAGACAGGAAAAAAGTATTTTTTTTATTTTTAATGTTTTTATATATTTTTAAATATTTTATATAAAATTATATTTTTATTAGATATTTAGTTTGTTTTTTATAAAATTTTATTTTTTTAGTATAAGTTATAGTATTTTTAAATTTTTTTAAAAAAATTATATATTTGGTTTGCCAATGGATGTGGATTGGACTAATCAATATTTGGTTCATTAAAAATAGAAATTGGATTAAAATATTTTTAAATCGGAATGAGTTGATTTGGGATGGACTGAATCAGTCCCTTTTATAAGAGATGAAAGATTTTTTGTTGTCGGTATGTAAAGAATTTTTTTTAATAAATAATTATTGATTTTATGATATTATTTTAAACTAACTATTTCATTTAAAAAGAGCCCTTCTACACTAAATTTTTTAAAAAAATTATCAAATATTTTATCTAAATATGCCATATAAATAATCAAAATTTTAAATTGTTAAAAATAAATATATTAATTTGATCAATTTATGTCAATAGATATAAAAATGGACGACGGCATATAAATTGGATATTAATTTGGTAATTTAAAGATTAGTGTATTTATTTGGCGTATTGGAACAAAATAGGTATTTTTCCCTAATATTGGTTCATGGCAAAAGATTAGTGTATTGGTTCATGGCGAATGGATACGCATCATCGTCGTGAGAAGCGAGGAAAAAAATAACATGTCAACAAAAACCTTGTTGAACTGAGTTGAGCATGAAAACGGTCAATTTTTGGCGGAGGTCCGTTTCGGATTAGCGGTAACCGTGATTTTGATTTGATTAAATCCCGGCTTGCGGAGATTTCGCGAGTCCGATCATGGCGTCGGTATGCATTAACGAGGCGTTTGAACGACAAAGAGCTCAGATGGGTGTTGTCGAGGTTGGACAGCGACAGCGACAGCGACAGCGACAAGGACAAGGAGGTGGTCGGTCTGGTTTGCGAGACGAAGAATCTCAAGGCTCGTGCGGATTCTGACTTCTATGCCATCGCCGATGGATTCAAGTGCTTGTAGTCCACAAATGCGGGAATGTGAAGGTGACTGTTTTGGCTGCAAGTTCTTACCTTTCTGTGTTAATGGATGGTAATTTGCAATTTCTAGACTGAAGCTATTGTTTGGGTTTTTGGGTCAGTGCTGTATAGTAGTATAATGCTGTCTCTGTGGGTTAGGGTTACTGCCAATGATTTGGGTATAGAACGAAATTCTCCAATCCTTCTAAGGTTGCAAGTCATTGGCTTCAAGTGGTGGTGTTCAAATTTGAGATTTGACATATACCATAACCTTTGGTTGTCTTGGTGATGATCATATTCGTGAGAGCCGGTTAGATAATTCAACCTTAGTGGGGGGTTTTCTTGTTTGAATCCTACCTAGGCGATTATTTTGAGTAGGCACTCTATTTTTCCCTTCAGGTATGGATGTGTTCTTGGTTTGAGTTGTTAAGTCTGATGATGTGCTAGTGTTTTTGAAGAGTTTCTCTGTCCTAACCTGACCATCACACCCTTTTCTTTTCTACAATCTGGAAGTTCATTGTTTCTTTGGCCCAAGTACATTTCCGAGAGTTTGGGTTGGAAAGGAGCTTTTGCTCTGTTCCTTGCCAGTTGAACCACTCAATCTTAGTTCATCACACCTCTTTTTAGGCATAACTAGATAGCATAGTTAATCAAAGTATTATCGATATGTAAAGCAGCATGGAGTCATCTGTGTTGATAGTGGAATGGAATGATCCTATGCTTTGATTTCTAATCTTAATTGGGTTTTGCCAAGGTGACAGAAAAAGGATTTTGGCAACGTTTGACCATCTAGTTTATGGGTATATGCCATTTCCTTTTATATTTATAAAGCCAAAGAGAACAAAAAAAAATTGTAAGCTGGTTGGTATTGCTTCCTTCAATATTTTGGCTGGCTGCTGTAATTTTGGTTAGGGTAACTTTGGTTTTGCTTAACTGTTTTGAGGGGTGTTACACATTCTGGGTTGGAACCAATTGGATCTAGTCTCTCTTATCTTCAGTTTTTGAATGTATCCTACTGTGTATAGCTCACGGATAAAGGATTATCCGATGTTGCAGAAGGCTGTCGTGGCCTGAGGACTTTGCAATTTTATCGGGTGCCAATTTCTCAGAGACAAATTATTAATCGCTCTCTGAGAATTGCTGTGATTTACAAGCTCTTGGACTTCAAAATATCAGCAATATTACTGATTCAGACCTGAGTGATCTTGAAAAAGGATGTCTGAAGATAAAATTCTTAGCTATCAGATGCAGTAAACTCGGAGATGCAGGGGTGTTAGTTTTACAAAGTTGAGGGTGAATCTGTATTATCTTTGGCGAATTTTGCAAGAATTTGGAAACTCTAACAGCTAATGGTTGCCGCATATCTCTAACGTATCTAAAATATTGGCCGCTTACTCCTGTAGAGACAACCTCAAGAACCTAAATATGGGTAGGTGTCTGAATATAACTGACTCTTCCATAAGCTGCATCCTCACTCGGTGCAAAAACTTGGAGGCTCTTGATATCTGTGGCTGTGAAGATATCACAGATGCCGCTTTTCCAGTAAGGCATCTTCCACATGTGAAGGAAAGAACATGGGAGGAAGCTGGTCTGGTTTTCCCAAAAGGTCGTAAGATAAAATTTTCTGGGAAGTTCAATCGAACCAGATGTTGTTGCTTCCGTGAAACTCTCTGATTCCAACCTTGTGATGGGAGAAACAGGACTGTTTACTTCTTCTTCTTTTTAAGCCTGGCAACGGTGGTGCTCTTCAGATTAAAAGGTGCTTGTGAATCGACTCGAATGGCCTTAAGGTTATGCAATGAGCTTATGCACTTTATGCATTTGTGCAATTGAAGTCATCTGATGTTTCTTCTTTCCATAATGTTTCCAGCACTCAAGAACTGTTGGATTTGTACTTGGATTGACAATGGTGGTGCGGAACCAGGATAAAAGAACAGCTTATATGTTGAGTTCCTGTTCTTGCATGAGCAGTGTTTACAGTGGAAAAGAAATGGTAAAAATGAGTTTTGTACAATTTTTTTTTTTTTTTTGTCTTTCTAGGCTCCCCTAATTTCATTCATATGACAATTCTGATGAAACAAGTAAAGAAAGAGACGAAATGTTTCTTCTTCTCAACCTGAACCACCTCAGAGAACCCTGACTTATTGGGCATCGTCTTCTTCTTCTTCCAAGCTCTGAGACAGCGCCTGCTGAAGAGAGTTGAAAGCTTTCTGGTGGCTCAAGAATCCCATGAACCAAAAGTCGAAATCATCGACCGTGACTACTTCCAGGTACTTCTGTGACGGCTTCTCCGTGTTCTGGCTCTGGTTCACTCTCTTGATCTTGCTCAGTGGGATGGATACCTTGTAGTGAACCCTGACCGTGTCTCCCTCGGGAGAAGAAATCTTGATCGATCTTTCGCTGCAGAAGGCGATCTTCTTGGACGAGATGAAGAGAAGACCCGGGATAGGACCAGACGTCGTTGACAGGTAGCACTGGTAGGCCTTGAGCAGCTTCTCCCCTTCACCGACCCTGAATAGCCTCTTGAAGATTTTCTGGAGCCCTCCCACTTGAAGAATCCTCGCCCCCAAGGTTAGTTTCCTCTTCACTGTTTCGGTAAGCTTTGGTCCCAACATGGTCTGGTCTCTTGCCCCATTGGTGAAGGCGAAACCGTCGGTTTTCTTCCCTTGTGTGCTTATCCTTCTGATAACCGATTTTCCTTTGCCTGTCACGCCATAAAGAGATCGACCCGTTAGCTTTTATGAATTCAAAGAAAGCGATAGCGCTACCGAACCAAATGGGAGAAACATAAAAGGAGGTAAAGGCACGAACTTTGTTCGGATTTCTTGGAAGAAGTCGAAACCCGGAACTTGCTTACAGATGCCGTATCAGGCAAGTAACCGACGGGAGATTTCTCGACGGGAGGGAAGGAGATGACTTGTTGTTGAAGTCTGTTCGTGCTCATCTTCGACTGGAGAACGATGAATCTGTTCCCTGTGGGTTGTGAGTTTGGTTGTGGTCTGATGACAGAGGAGAGCGGTTGAGGAGAGATATATAAAGGGGAAGGGAAAGACAAGAAGGAGAGGCAGTTGAATCTTTGAAACCCCTTTGTGGTATTGAGGATGAGTCATGGATGGGTCATCAATGAAGGAGAAAAGCCACCTTTTTTAGGGTTTTTTTATTAAAAAAAAAATCTCTGTGGGAAGATTATGCATTTGGTTTGTTTTGGCTGCTTTTAGAAAGAAAAGAAAATCAAATGAAAAATAATAATACAAAAAAAAAAAAAAGTGTTGCGACTAAGAAGTGAATTGTCAAATCTTCTTTGTCGACTCTTGGAAGGATCTAGGTGTTCCCTACGAGGATTTGAATCAGTGACGGACCAAAAAAATATAATTTTATTATAAACAAATTTAATTTATGAGGGTATTTAGTAATTTTATTCAAAATCTTATAAAATTTATAAAGAAATTAAAATTTTTTAATTGATTGAACGGGGCATGGAATAGTTGGTGAATTAAATAATATGGATTTCCCATATCAAACTCTGATTCCATCCCAAAATATATTGCATAACCTACAATATATCATCGTTTTTTTACATGATTTCCATTGATAGACGAAGAATATTTTTTTTAAAATAGAGTTTATATCTTATATAAGCATTTTTTAATCATCTAAACATTTTTAGAACAAAGTTCGAAGGCTTATTATATCTTTGGATATGCAGCTCATATGATTTGTATTTACTTATGCAATTTAAGAGATTTAAAGATTATGAAATTTGTTGAAATGTGTCAAAAACTAAAAACGTTTTGTGAAGTGTTTTTTTTTTCTATTTTTAAATCTATCTTTTAAGGAAAAATCATCATATATATGATTACTTACGAAAATTAATTGACCATAATACATTTTTATTATAAAATATGATAACCTATATCAAAATATACTAAGGTTTAATATCAAATTTTCGATCCTTATACATATGAGGTAGATATGAGGCATGCAATTTAAATATTACAGGTCAGTTGGTTGGGAGCAGGCGGGCAACTTCTTGAGATGGGGGGTTCGAATCATATCGTCTCCCTTCCTCTGACCTGCTCGCCTGTCAGTCTATCATAATGGGCTGATTTACCTCCTATGCGTGTGTTGCAGGCTCGTGCGCGTGGGTTTGGGGTTTGACCCGCAGGCGCCTAAGTCCAACTACGGCCCGAGCGTTAGGTGCACCTGGTGGCCAGATCCAGCGGACTGAGGTCCATGGGGACTGTTAGGTGCGGATGGTGACCAGTTCGTCTCCGTTTGTAAGAGTAGATAGTCACGGGGTTCTCCAATATATCAAAAAAAAAAAATTAGCAAAAAAAAAAGATTACATGAAAAAAAAAAAGAACAAACAAGATCTACACAGTCTGACGTTAGACTCCGACATGCCTTTTCTCTTGCCCGCAAGTTGTCCGAAACGTTATCTTAATTAATGGGCCCCTAATTTTACTTAGCCATGTATTCAACCGTGTGAACATTTGTCGGCTTATATTTAGCCGAATAGGGTTTCCCATATTCCACGTGGATTTTTTAACTGCCACGTGGATTTTCTTATTTTGCTTGGAACAATTTCTCCGTTTTCGACATTGATATTGGATCTCTCTCTGAGTTGGCGTCGTTACTTTCTGACGCCATGAAACCATCATCTTCCACGCTAAGATTTATTTATTTTCTTGGTTATTATAAAAGCGATTTTGATTATAAAAAATGATATAACACAACGATAAAAAAAGGGAGTGATAGGTAATGGATCCCACCATTTGTAAACCACATTCGTCATCCATGTGATATGCACATTCAAGTGCATGCACTTATATACACACATATATATATATATATATATATAGTTAGTTGTCATGAATATAATACGACGTTAGAGGAAGACAATATCTACATAATATGTGTATGTGTATATATATATATATATATATATATATGCGTGTGTGAATGCATGTATCATAGTAAACACGGTTAGATTATTCGTATTTTTTTTCTTCTCTGTATTAGATTCATTGATTAATTAGCGTATCTGTGGAATTGTAGTGGTTGGGCTTTTGTAATCTGAAATGGGCCGATAGCATATAATCAGCATGCTGCATATATCGGTTATGTATATGTTACAGTAGCGTGTATCTATAGCCATATATATAAATATAAATATAAGTCTCTCTACATCTTTCTGAATTTAAATCTGGATATAAAAAATGGGGTTAAATTAAAACAAATATAAAAATGTTAATTTGAATAAATTTATTAACTGATCGGAAATTAGAAAACAGGTTAAATACAATGAATCATTTTTTACGAATAAAAAGCTAAGCATAATTCCAATTAGATAAACATTATTAAAAAAATAATTGGAACACAAAAACAGTGGGCGGGTTTTCCAGCATGCAATAAGCTTTCCTATTGTAATTGCCACGTCATTTTCTTTATAATTACATTGCTGTTATATCCAAACTTCCTTATGTAGACACACACGTGGATATAGGAGAATAAAAGAACACCGCAGAGAATATTTTTCAAACGGAATATTTAATTAAAAACAAGGTGTGGGGGCCACAGTGACGGTTACTAAACACAACTCATAATCTCTTGTAAATTATATATTATATATTATAATAATATTACATATATGTATATGTTTTTCATTAGGTAACGGAAAAGGAAAAAAAAATGCATAGATAAAAGAATTGTCTAAAAAAGAGAACAATAAGAAAACTCAAAAGATAAAATGTACAGAAATTCTCAAATATTTATATTTAGGAAAAACAACTAATATCTGATTTATATGTAATTTGTTTCATTCTATAATGGATATATATTCATTTAATCTTAATTTAATTCAGCTATGTATGTTTATTTTATAAGATAATTATGAGGAATATTTTAAGAAGATAAGCTCAACGACAAAAAAAAAGGGAATAAATGAAGTGTCAAAATTTATTACGAGTAAAAGAAATGCATTTTTAAGAGAAAGGTGTAAACTGCCAAATTGAGATAAAACTAACACGCAAAAATTAATTATCAATTATGACCTTTCTTTTAATTATCTTGGATTTTTCTTATATATATATATATATATATATATATATTCGTATTTCCTCACTCCATTCTTCTTCTCCTTTCTTCGTCTCCTCTCTCGAGATTCGGTACCGTAATTTCTCTCTCTCTTTTTTTACTCGAATTTCCTTGTTAGTTATATTACTGTAAATATTTTTATTACTGATACTATGATGTCTGAATCAGGGGGAATGGGTGAGAGTAAAATGTCCAATTTCGAGAGTTTCCTCGACAGCACTTGTGCTCGCGTGTCCCTTCATTATCCGCCCGAGGTAATAAATCAATTGATTTATTTTTTAATATTCCTCATCATATATGATCTGCACGTAAATTCGCACACGACGTCCATGCATTTTTCGCGTTTCCGATTATATTTCGCATAAATTCTCGCTTAGAAATTTACTGTTTTTTTAAATCTTATTTTTTTTATATAATAAAGAGTTCGATTCTAAATCGAATGGCTTGTACTTTTTGTTTTTAAATTTTGGTTAAAGAATCGACAACAACAAAGGTTGTTTTAAATAAATAATTTATAATTTTTTGTTTAAGATTTATCATGGAAAAAATCGAAGAATATAATGGTTAATACAATCGGGCCCACAGCTTTTTACCGTTTTATTTTAAAAAACATGTTTCGTCATTTTGTTTTATGATTATTTATCATAAATTTCCATAAAAAATAATTATGTACATATATAAGAAATGTAAATGCGTCATTTTTGCATAAAATATAAGTTTTGCAACTCATTGAATAAATTTTTTTTTTAAATATCTCTAAAGAAATATTCCCTATTATATAAGATTTATCATTCATTACTTACCCGAAAAATATCATTCTAGTGCATTTTATCAATTTAAAATTTTCCCAATTAATATATTGACATGTGTCAAACTTTTTTTTTGGTAAAATGACATGTGTCAAACTTAAACCGTGTAAAACAATTAAACTCGAATTTTAAATTATTCACGTACCAAAAATTTAAAAGTATTCAAAGTCAACAAAAATCTAAATCATCAAGAGGTTCAGCAATAATTTCTAATAAATAGTAAAGTCGCAAGAATCTAATTCAACTAATCGTCACTAAAAACTTTTTATTCATAACGACCGCACAGTTTGTAATCACTCGCAGTATGTAATTGACTAGTCTAAAACTATATAGGAAAATTTGTAAATATTAGAAATATAAAGGACTTTTTTAGAATTACAAGGCTTTAACCCGATTTGTAGACCCGAATAGTGTAATCGGACCCTAAATCAAATCTGCGCAGACTTGCGGGTCATACTCTTCGGCAAAAGATGAACAGTCACAGTCTCAGGCTCCGATAGAGTTGAGGCATTTCTGGGATGCCTACGAAGATTGGAGCACTTATGGCGTCAGTGTTCCTCTTTGGATCGAAGACACTGCGAAGCTTACTCAGTATTATACTCCTTATCTCTCCGCGATCCAGATCTTCACAAAACCCAAGCAAATTGCCGATGATTCTTCTGCTTCTTCTTCTTCTTCTTCTTCCAGGTTTCGTCGCCTTCGTTGATTTCACTTGTTTTTTTTTTTGCGTTTTCTATATGTCTTGTGGTGTGTGTCGTTTGTTTCCACTTCGAAATGTCTGTGTTTTGTGTATGATATGGTATTATTTGATGTGAGCAAATGGAGCTGAATCTGTGTCGGTTGTCTGGCTGTCGATTTTGGAAGGATTGATTCTATCATGATGTAGATGTGAAGATGTAATTGTTATTACGATTGATTTGTGAAACGTTTAAGGACCATAGTATGCATGATTTAGTTAGTTTGGCGTTTTTCCAAGAAGCATAACTTTTATGACGCGGAGTGTTCTTTTCTTGGAAAGAAGTTATGCCTTGGAAGCTTACAAATGTTCGAATTTACTATGCTATCGGTCACTTGTGTTTAGAGGTTCTTGTGGAACAATACTTGGTATCTGAGCTCATAATTCGTCTATGTGTATATGTTTTTTTTTTTTTGTGAGTGTAGGACCTTGGTGGCAGGAAAAAGTGGTGAGGTGAGCGCTGAATGTAGCGCTCAAGGAAGTGACCCACACCGATTCTTGACCGCTGATCATCTGGGTAACCTTTATTTTCAATATAACGAGACCGATAAGCCAATTGACAGAACTCCTCTTACATATATGGTATGTTGTGCATATCTATTTATTCCTGTGATGTGGGGTTATTTTCTTTTCTTATTTACAGCATTTGCGCTCTCCTTGCTTAAATATCATGTGGCATCTTTTTCCGTTTTATAGATAGCTGAGCTTGCCGAGAAGCACCATGGTTTATTTAGTCTGAAGACTGCGGAGTTGTCGCAATATAGCTGGCTTTCCATAGCTTGGTATGTTTAATCTCCTATTACCCCCTTCAGTTTTAACCCCTTGTTTGTTATAAAGTTACTTTGATCCTTAATCAATTCCTTTTAATTGACTTGGATATACTCTCATAAAGAGGAACGATAGCATTACCTCATGTTCTTATGAGTTTCCATTTTCTACTCCTGATGTTCACATGATTAATAAGTTCTTCTATTATGTATATTTGATGCCTGTTGCTACCTTTACCCAAAATTGCAGAACTTTTTCAAATTAATGATGGTAGTGAATCGGTTTATTCGTAACTGTTTTAGGTACCCTATTTATCAAATTCCATCTATGAAATATTGGAGGGAATTATCTGCATGCTTCCTAACATATCATGGATTGACACCTACCATTCCAGGTACCTTGGCGAAACAATAATTAATCTTGTCATTATTGATTAAAATTTTCTGTGAAAATAAATCTGATGCAATATCCACAGGAAATGGACAGTGAATTTATTGATTTATTTTTACTCTTTTCTTGTTGATGGTTAGGAGCTTTAAAAGTTGCATATTTTGCTCAAGTTTTTACCAACACTACACTTTTTCACCTTATTTGTAGATTCTAGATATGTTCTAAAGTGTCATGCTATCTTTGATACAACAATTAAATATGTTAGCCAAAATTAAGGAGGGAATATAACTTATATATGATTAGTTTTATCCCAGCCTAATTCCGAAACACTTCACGTTAGAGTTCTAAGAATGCTATTACAAGAAAGCTATCACATTCTTTTCCATTTCTTAGGTGGCAAAGTCGAAGATAGATGTAAGGGATCTACTTTGAGCTAGCTTGAAACTTGTATTTGTGAATTATCCGAAAACAACACTCTTCTTTCTACTAAATGCTTTGATCCTTTAAAGAACTAAAAGTTTTTTTTTGTCTCATCTCATCCACTAAATGGATGTACTGTTAATAGTTCTGATCCTGATGTTTGTCTGGTCTCCAGGATCACTTGTAACTCCAAGAGAAAAACTAAACAAACAATTTCATTTCTCCAGGAAGTTTGAACTCTATATTCTATAAATCTTAAAACATTTTTTTGCCACATTTTTCATTTGTAGTCAAGTACCAATTTTCCCTCTTCTCTCTTGTCATGAAAATCCACATAACTTACTAATTGCAAATTTTAGATTAAAATTTTCTCAAAGTAAGCATAAATGGCATAATTGCCCGTGATCGTTTAGCACGAGGTTGGTAGTTGATCATGCAATTCGTTGATCTTCAAAAAAGGAATGAAGAGTAAAGTTTCGTTAAAGTGGTAAAGGGGAAATTCATTTGGTAGTTCATAGATGTTTCTTTCCAATTTTTCTAAGAATTGCAAGATTCAAAAGCCATTTACATGGGAAATTCGTTGACAACTATGATTTCGTCAATTTATTACTCGTTTTTCCATCCTGATACATAGTTGTCAATGAATTTATTAACAAAGAAAGGTTTATATAAATGAGGAGGGTGGTTGTGGCTTTTGTTGTGAAGTCTCTCACACCCTTCTTTGGGAAGGGTCTCAAGGGATTCATTTGACAGGGTTAGGTAAAACTCTCGAAAGCTAACATGCTCATCAGTACATACTCTTGAGAGGTACATGAACTCGTGCTTATTGTAACGGAAATTTCGAACTCACATCAATATGGTATATGGTTGCTAGTTACACTATAGTATATATAATCAATGTATTAACCCGAGATATATGAGAGAAGTCTATGTTAGGAATCTTTCAAGAAATCAATTCTTTCTTGCATGGTTTCCTAAAACTTAATAGAGAATACACATTAGGCTATTCTAGTTAACTTTTAGGGCGCCATGGTTGAACTCCAGAAAATGCTAGTCATTGGATCTACGTAGTCGGTTTAAACTCAAGCAAGCCTATGCATAAAGAAAGAGGTTGGTTATGGCCTTTAGCTTGATGGTGCTACATCTTACGTATTCTTGACCATGGAAAGGGGAGGGCTCTCATTCGTGGGATCATTGTTCACCTTTCTTGCTAGATGGGAAGGTTGCTAGAAAAGATTAATAAATATGAGAACTTGGATAAGTCTTCTGGACGTATATTCACTTTTCAAAGAATGTTATTCCGTCCTTAACCATGCAAATGAGATTTCCGTTATACATTTTTCAGACAAAGAAGATACAACGATATTGGTTTACTTTACCGAATATCGTTACACAAATGGTAAAAATGAAAGAAAACACTCTTGCAATAATTTTTTACAACAAAATATGCCAGAGAACACTTCAAATCTCTTAAGAATAAGTTATTTGTATTCATACCTTAATAAGATAATTTTTATTCATACCTATTCCGACTCTATTCAACATCCACATCAACATCGCCTTAATCCCAAGTTTATTTAGGATCGGGCGCATGAATTCTTCGTTTTCACTCGTTTCAATTTATTCTGACTCTATTGTATCCTATTAATAGATATAGTTAATTGTGATCAAGAAATATAAACAAAATAATTGTGTTTCTTTGTGAAACTTTATATAACTTCACAAATAAACATTTGATAATGATAGAAATTAGGATTTCTATTGAGAAACGATTGATCTTGAATGCAATTCGAGATACATTTGCCTCCCTTTTCTTTAATCAACTCTCTGATGTTCTATTCATTATGGAAAATGAGTCTCTCATAAGGGTACGAACCCTACGTCTTGGTCACATCCGACTAACCCACCGACGAGAACCTTAGGCCTTAGGTCCATCTTATTCACTCCCAATCTCACACAAAGATAAACAAACCTCCAACACAAAAGCGCAATAAAAGAATAAAGCCAAAACTACTAGTTGAGGCCATCTCAAGCAGCTTGGCCTTACCTTGCCCCTGTCTCACGTACGTGAAGCATATTGGGGATCTATCAGTTAGGTAACTAATTACTCAAAAAAACGAATAATTTCCTATAATGCCTAAAATTATGCCCCTTGATTTGAATAACCATGAATCTTTAACTTTTACTCTCATTTATCTCTGGTTTAAACAAAAGTGGACGTGTAAGACTAAAGCATATGAAACAACGTTTTAACAAAACATTACTCGGAGTCAATACCAAAAGATCTCACATTATGTGAGTAGTTACATGGTCATGCATTGCGTCCTATCATTCCCAATACGTCACGAAGTCCAAACCGTCTATAAACTACATGTACAATATGAGGTATCATTTCCAAAGCATAATGGGTTAAATTACTATGACTTATAAATCTATATTATATCATTTATGAAAATTTAACTTCTCCACAATACCAGTAATATATATAGATAATCTCGTGAGGGGGTAGAGGTTTATTATCTAAAGCCCTACAAAATCTTGAGAAGTTATAATATTGTTGGCATGCTCTTTACAAAACTTTGATCCGTCTTGATTTACTATCTCTGTTTTTTCCCTGAGAAAGGAATCACTTCTTGACGAGAGAATTTTCTTTCTTTTGTTTTTTCCTCCTTGAGTGCTGGGCCCTTTTTTTAGGGATGTTATATCCAAATTTGAACTGTGATTGATCCAAAAGGGGGAGTTTAAAAGCATGACACGAGTCTACACCACATCCACCTTCAGGAGAATTCACTTCTTTCTTAGTAATAAGATCCAAATTTTCAATACATCACCTTGATTTATTTAGTAATATAACATGTTTTTAAACTCTTACTAAAATAGTCATTTATGGTTCCAAAAGTCATTTCTATCCTTCTATTAAGACTTAGGTCTTGCTATTTATCTATATTTTTAAAGTTACCTTTGTACTTCAATATTTATTTTACTTATTTTATACTTTAGAAAAAAAGTATTTAATTTACTAATGCTCCCATAATAAAAGGGCAACGTGGTGAACAAAAAATCGCGCTGAGTGGGGGTCCCACCGCAAGGTGTATTGTAGGCAAACCTTACGTTGTAGAATATTCTGCAAGAGACTGTTTCCAGGACTCGAATCCGTGATTTACGGATCACAACGGCAACACCTCAAACAGTGCACCAAGACTCTCCATAGTAATAGGGGAAAATTATAAGAACCTCTTTCATATAGGATTTAGAGCTCAAACTCAAAGTCCTTCCATGTGCTAACTTTACCGTCAATTCCCCTTTTTGAGAGCTGATTCAGGTGTAAGCTAGAAGTTGCAACCGTTAAGTTCCCTTCTGTATAATTTAAGGTATCTTATAGTATGAGTTATGACAATGCAGTAACACCGAGATCAGGTGTTGCAATAGGTTTTTGGTAGATCATCATCATATTGCATGATACCTTTGTGAAATTGTTCTAAATCCAATACATTAGACAATGTGTAGTTCGAAACTTAGGAAGTATTAATGATAGGGATCTAGTTTATGGTATATGAATATTTGCGCAACTGAAGTCCGAGTACGTTATGTTGGATTTTATGAAATGTATGGCACATATTAAGCTTGGTTTTCCATGCTTGTCTAGGGCAGATTCAGTTTTTCCTGCAAGCATTATTTGTCACATTACCATGATTATTTTGGTGCAGGTTTCATCATAATTGTTTTTAACTTTGTTTTTTTTTGTCATAATCGTAGGTATGTTTTTTTTGTCACGGTAGCATAGTACCTAGTCTCTAATCACAAATCGTGCGAACTAGGGTTTGAACCCTGGAAGTGTCACGTGAGTTGTCAGTGTTTAGACCACTGGCTCATGTGCTTCCGACCATCACAATTGGTTTTTATCAGTAGTATTTTTCTTGATTGATTACATTTTATTTATTATTAATTATATATCCTCTTTGTAATGATTTGGACTTTATATGGAAGTTTGTGGTATGTGTTTTGAACTTTCCTTTGCATCAATCAGCAGTTTGATTACATTTAAAGATGTTCTTTTTTGCTCCATTTTCTTTATCACAGATATCTGAAGTTAGATTGCTATTCGTGCATGGCAAAAAAGCCAAGATATTTGCCAAATAACTGCGGTCACAAGTGATAAATGTTTGTTATATATGCTTGGTGCGGGAGACCATAAATTCGAAGAATATGTTTGTATCAAAGAGAGTTCTTTATTCGAATGGGTCTGTGAATAACCCAGTTTTGCTTATGTTGTACAGGAGCATTGCCCAACGATGGGAAAGCCAAGGCCAACGTTGGATCATCAAATGCAAAAGTTGCGGTGCCTGCTTTTGGAGCAGTGACTCTCGATGGCTACAATAGGTTTTGGGCCGGTGCAGGGATGTTATGTCTAGCGAGGATGGAAAAGCTCGAGGAAGCTGCTGACTCGTGGTTGGAAACAATTGGGTTCAAGCATAGTGATTTTGACTTCTTTAGGGCCCGGAGGCCCTATCGCCCACCAATTACAAGCAAAAGGTAATCATTTCTTGGGTTACTTCCATTTATCTGTGAGAGCTGGAACCGTATATAATGCCGTGATCGATGATATCGATGGGAAATTGCTATTGAATGCTAACCCTATGAATGGTATGTTAGTGTCATAGTAGTCATCCATAGGCAAAGACATGCTGAAAATCTGGATTGATCGGTTGTACTTTTGGACCAGCATTTTGGGGGATTTTATCGGTGATTCTAATCTTATGGTGTGGATTTTCTGATTTTTCCCCTGCCTTGTGATTCCAGTTAACGATATTCCCTCTTTGATTCCTGTCATCGTAGATCCAACATAGGAAGGAAAACCTTAAATAACTTAGAAACATTATTACAACTCAATAGTTTGATAGGGTATAGTTTCCTTGCTTGATTAGCTGCGGTATTTAGTGCGGAATAGAGATATCTGTGTGGTCCTTTTCTGGCATCCTATGCTTTGCGCCTCGTAAGAGTGTACATTTTGCAAGCATGAGGCTCCACTAGAGCAGAGATTTGGTACTTAACTGCTGACTTAGTTGAATGCTGCACGACATCATAAGAAGTTTTTCTTTAGTTTTTCGTGAAAATAGGAAGCATTTCTATGCATAATAAAGTAGGAAGCTTTACCTCCCACAAGTCACGAACATCGACGACGGTTGATGAGCCGAGGCCAATGTCGGTCCAGCGAGCCGTGATGTTAGCCTGTGATTCTCCTCTGTTCCACAGGACGATCGCGACTCTTTTCTTGGTAAGAGGTCCTGCCCATACCTGCATTTGTTCTCTTAAGTCTTATTCGTGTGGCTCGGGTATTCGGGTAGTATTATTCACGGGTACCCGAGAATTTTTCTGGTTTATCTGCCTAGCCCTAGAGGTTTCATAGTTAGTATGTTAGGTTAGGTTAGATTACCTCAAGATCACCCTCTTTCTTGACCTTTTTCCCCTGGACACCAAGTTTGTCTGAACACCGACCAAACAGTTCAAAGTAGGATCATCAGTTCATGTCTGGTTCATAAAAAAAATTCATTCAGATTCGTTCAGCCTTTTGTACTCGCCTTGATTCACTGCTATCACCTCCTTATTGCTAAGCAATTTGAAGGTGAGTTTGTCCATCGATCTGATATCGCATCCAATCAACAGCGGAGCCTATAGAGAATAAAAAATCCGATCTTAAATCGGTTTAAAGATGGAAGAACCATCATCATCATCATCATGGTGCATAGGGAATTCTGCATAGTGTATATATCAGTTCTGTACTTTTGCCAATGCCCAGATGCTGAAATGGGACCTGTATTCTTCAGTTGTCATTCCTCCATTTCCCACTTCCAGCATGTCTGGATCTGTTCCAGATTACGAGTAGTCGAATCAGAATCTCGTCCGAGATTAAGGAAAGGGTTTCGGATCCGAGTATAGTACCGTTCCATGATCCAGGTTTCGCGTAAGATGCCCATCTATCGTTCTGATCGGCTATGAGTGTCATGCTATAAAGGGCAAAGAAAAACACATCAGAGGAACATTCAGTTCTTTTGAAGACAAGAGACCAGTTATGTTATGTTTGGTTAGAATGCCGTGAAGAATACACATATACACCCACATATATATGTGTGTGCATGTACCTCTCCCATTTATCTTGGATGTCTCCTGTTGTCCTCCAACTATTCCCTACACCTCCTGCCCATGTCGCCTATGCATAAAGAAAGAGGTTGGTTATGGCCTTTAGCTTGATGGTGCTACATCTTACGTATTCTTGACCATGGAAAGGGGAGGGCTCTCATTCGTGGGATCATTGTTCACCTTTCTTGCTAGATGGGAAGGTTGCTAGAAAAGATTAATAAATATGAGAACTTGGATAAGTCTTCTGGACGTATATCCCTACACCTCCTGCCCATGTCGCTGGATCATCTTGTCCCCTTTCAATTTCGCCGTTTCTTTCATCAAAATCTCTTTAAGGGCAAAATCATTTCAAGAAAAAAAAAATAAAGTTGCAAACTTTTTTTTGGAGTTTGGACTGTTTCTTCTTACCATTCACACAAAGAGAAGAAGATGGATCTGCCGGAATTTAGCAGAGCTCTGCCCATCTTCATGTACCTTTCTCTCGGATTAAGACCCGTGTTCGCGCAGTTGTCGTATTTCAAATAATCAACACCCTGTTGGAGTTTTCAGTATGCAAAAAACTGACATGAAGGGTCTTTCTCCCCGTACGTACGTACGTACGTACATACATACATACATGCATACATACATACCCATGAGGCAAAAGTCTTTGCATCTTGTTCTTCGTGGTCGAGTGAACCCGGCATGGTTGTGCTACAAGTAGTAGTCCTATGCATGAAGAAAACAGAATAAGATGACCAGAAAAAGATGATTGTATATAACAAAGATTTGGGATTATATGTAGCATAGAGAGTCCTGTCATATATATGTATACATATACATGTACGTGTATATACCCAGCATCAGAGTAGATCCCGAGCTTAAGCCCTTTGCTATGAACATAATCTGCTAAACCCTTTATTCCTGAAGGAAAGGTTGATGCTTTGGCAACCAAATTCCCCTGCCATTACATAGAAAACCATTGATTTAAAACACTTCATCATCATCATCATCATCATTGCATCCCCCGCCCCCCCCAACCCCAAAAACAAAATGGGTTTTTGCCCCTTTACCTGAGAGTCCCTGTTGAATTCACCCCAGCAATCATCTGAGAACAGGAAATGAAACCCACACTAAATCAGGCAAAAGAACAGAGGACATGAACAAACTCATCTGTAATAAATCTTGTTACTGTCTCTCTCTCTCACCTATGTTGATGTACTTGTACCCTAACGCAGCAAGCCCGCTTACCACCATTGCATCCGCTGCAACACAGTTTCAATATCATCTTCTTCCACCTTTTTTTTTTTGTAATGATCATAAATATGTGTGCAAGTGTAGATTCGATTTACCGGTCTGTTTGATGAGCGTCTCGTTGATGTTACACTGGAAATGATTCCAACTGTTCCATCTGATCAGAGGAACGTGAATACTACTTCGTGACTTGCGAATCAAGAAAAAAGAAAACGGAGGAAAGAGGGTAGTGGGGGTAGGATACGAACCCCATTTGGGGAGTGAGGCCAAGCCCGTTGCTCAACAGCGTTCTCCTCCCGCCCTGCGTTTGCGTCTCGTGAACTCCTGCGTTTGCGATCACGACCAGCGTCAGCAGGTGAAGAAGTAACACAAAGACACGCTGAACCATTGCTTCAATCCAATCGTTGCTTGAGAGAGATAGAGAGAGAGAGAGAGAGAGAGAGAGAGAGAGAGAGAGAGAGAGAGAGAGGCTCAAAGGTGATGAGCAAATCTCTCTGCCGAAACTTTAAATGCGCGAAATAATTGGAATAGATTTTGGAAATAAATCATAAATGTAGTGCCCAAGTGGGATCATGAAAGAGAAATTCAGTTTTACGCGTGTATATATATGTATGTATAATTGTATATGTACATGTACATGTAACGTAGGTATAGTCTCTAGTCTAGGGCAAGTGGGGCCACAACTAAGTGATGTTGCTTTGTCGTTACGGTCTTTTGCTCCATCCGTGTAGAAGAAATGTATCCTTTGGTTAGTTTCCATATAATTTGATTTGTATAAGAAAACTAAGAAAGTTTTTTTTTTTATAATTCAGAAGTTTACTGGACCTTTGGTCCAACTATATCTGCCTAAGTGTCGAGAAAGTTCAGGTGAATATTCCTCTCCACACTTGGATTTGAACGCAGAATAAAAGTATACTTTGTATGTTCTCTTATCACTCGACCACTCAAATTTGGGTAACCAAGTTCAGATTTTTTTTATATAAAAAAAATTGAATAACCATACGCTGTATACACGTTTCTGAACCCCAAGTGTGACGCATAAAGTGGCCATAACAAGTTATTTAGTTGTAACAAATAAGAAATATATAAACATACATACATATATACACACACTGACACATACACATTCTGGCAATCTTTGTCTCTGGGGCAAGTGGGTTCAAAGTGATCGTCTTGTAGCATGGACATAGAATCTTCACACATTTCCATAATTCAACTGAAATAAAAAAGCCGAATTTCCTGACATATATTATTAAATTAACAATTGTACATTAATCTACTATATATATATATATATATATATATACTGTCGCATCAAATTCCATGCTTAACACTTTTGTCTGTAGTAGTAGTAGTAGAGTGGGAGTGGTTGTTGTGATGTGAACATGTTTCTGCAACATTTGTAAGCTGTGTTTGGAGAGAGCAGTTGTGAGCTGTTCTCTCGTATTTATATGTGTATATACGTATCTTACATGTATGTATATACGTATATTATACGTATAGACAGAAAGATGATAGTGTACTTTCTGTTCTTGAACATTTATGTTTCCCCACAAGGAGTAATCTTGAAGCGAGTTTTCGATCATGAAATCCCATTGTACAGACACTAGCTTGAAGAGTGAACCATTTCATAATGATCGGAGGACCCATTTCATTGAAGAGTGTCTCTTAAGCAAAGAGAAAGACCAAGTCCAAATGGTAGAGGTGAATTCGGTCCGCCCGGTCCCAACACGTATTTGGTCCGAGGGTTTTGGGTTCGGATTCGGATCGATCCGATTTTTTTTCGAGTCCAAATAACCAGATCTGAAACCTGATCCTATAGATTTCGAGTTTGGATTCAGCCTAATCTATAAACTTGTTCTATGATTTTAAAATTTTAATTATTTTTAAAAAAAAATTTGGTTTCGAGTCAACCTGAAGTCCGATCTAGACCTAACCTGAAAGTCCAAAATTTTTTGAATCTCGACATATAGATCCATAACTCGCTATTTTTCGGGTGCACTTGGAATCTCGTGCCAAAATTGACACCCATACAAATGAGTTAAAAAATAATCTTTTTTAAAAAAATTATCGGACAAATTTAATTTGAATCTTTGATATTTTAGCTTTGTGAGAATAAAAAGGCTAAAATTTATTATGAATTTCATATTATAGATATGATAGAAGAGTTAAATGTTCGTAATATAATATGTACGAGTAAATATATGTGATAATTATCCAATTAATTATGTTTAATTTAAATAAAAAAATATATGTAATAGTCTGAAAAGATAAGATACAAGGATATGTGATCTTTCATTTAGGTGTGGTGGTTATTAATTTCAACGAAAAGGCATGTTTCACACAAGTCAAAGATGTTATTTAGTTTAAATTAAAATATGTCGGCAAATAACTTTCAATCAAAAGAGTAAATATTAGGGTCGATTAAAATTTTATTTCAATTAATTAAATAATTCGTTTTTTTAAATGAAGTGTTATCTTCAAGATATATATATATATTTTTGTTTATTTCTTTTAGTTTCCTATAAATATATAATTTGGAGGCATTGAATGGCAACCATATAAGAAATAGGATAAAATTTATAAAAAAATTGAATTATCAAATATATCTCAAAAGTGTTTTTTTATAATTTTATTTAATCCGAACTCTGGTCAAAGTCTTCGATCATGAGACACCATTGGGGTGGCTTGATCGGATTTTGGTTCGGATTCGGTTCGATTATTTTCGGGTTTTATTATTTCGGTTTTAGAACAACTATAACCATTCATTTTTTATATTAAATTCGGTTTGGTTCGGTTCGGAAACGGTTCGGTTATGATAAGAATACTTATTTTTTAAGAAGATTTATGGTTTTTTCGGTTCGGTTTGGATTTGGGTTCGATTTGTTCGGTTTTAAAAAAATTATAACTATTGAATTTTATATCTAATTCGGTTCAGCTACGGTTATATATTATTCGATTCAGATCGGTTCGATTATTCGGTTGTTAACCAAATAAGGCACACATCACGGTACAGCCACTAGCTTGGAGGGTGGACCTCCAGTCTGGCTTTCATCGAAAGTTTCGGACCCATTTCATTGACGAGTGTCTCTTACGCAAAGAGAAGGCCCAAAAAAAAAAAAGACACAATCTTTTGATTTAAAAACTAATTTCTAAAAATTTTATTGGATAAATTTATTTTCAAATTTACAAAATATATTACTATAATTCTTAAACTAATTTATGAATTAATATTGTCGAGTTTTTTTCTAACACCATAAATTTTTAAATTAAAATTATAAAGGCACATTTTATAATTTTGATAATTATAATGATAAATTTCGTAAGTTTGGAAATAAATTTGTTAAGCCAAAATTTAGAAATATATTTTCCGCCGTTTTGTAAGTTAAATTTTTTTTATGGATTTTACAAAAAAAAGCATCAAACAACGGATATTATATAAAAAATAACCTTACTTTGTCATTTCTACTTCAAGACCTACTTTTGTGATCATGTGACCAATGTGACCGAAATATAGTATGGTCATATTTTGATTTTATCGATTATAACGTTAAATTTATGGTGATCACACTAATTCATTATATTCATACCTTGTATATCTTACTAATCATTTGATTAAAACATCATAAATTTAACGTTATGAACAATGAGATCAATATGTGATCACACTATATTTCGGTCATATTGGTCACATGGTCACAAGGGTAGGTCTTGAAGTAGAAATAGCAAAGTAAGTGTATTTTTGATAATGGCCCAAACAAAGCTGACATAAATCTTTGATCCTTTATAGATCTGTTCAAGTGAATGAGAAAAGGGGGAAAGACATTTGCCTTTCGCCCTTTGAATCTTATTGCCCATTGATCAAATATGTAGTTACAGAGCAAAGGTTTCTCAAGCGACGGGTTTCAGAATATACATCCTGCAGGCATGAGAATCCATTGTAGCAGTCAGGTTTCCGACAAACTTCTGGGCCAAAGTCTTGTGCTGTTCATCAGAAAAGAAGATATATATACATTCATCAGAAACCAGACTGAGACTCAGTAGCAAAATTCTGATTTTGATCATGTGGGTGTGTATGTATATGTATATAGGTACCTCCCAAAGATCTCTGGCTTCAACGATGCTGTTTGCAGGGATGCCAATGTCATCCCAATGGGCAGTGATCGCAGACCGTAATGGTCCACGGTTCACTAGCAGCAGAGCCACTCTGTAACCTGATAACGGTCCTGCCCATATCTCGAGATCGCCTTCCATCCTTACCTTCTTGGCCTGAACCCCAAGTGGATCTGAAACAAAAAGAAAACGATTTTTTTTTTGTCAAACAAGGAGTTGAAACAATCTCTCCGTTGTTTTTTTTTTCCGAAAGAGATCTCGGGAATGCAGCAAGTACCTTGATTAACAGCAATGACCTCCTTGTTGGAGACAATCTCCATTGTTTCTTTTGTCATGTTTCTTATGTCACAGCCAAGTAGAAGAGGAGCCTGCAACAATGGTGTTTTTTTTGGCTCAGGAGGGCAGTTTTGTCTGAACCTTGCAAGATCATCTCAAGAGCAGCCTGTGATTCTTACCTTAGAGATTGCCCATATGCTGAAATGGACAATGTATTCATCCTTTGCCATCCCTCCATTGCCCACTTCAAGCATGTCCGGATCTGCAACCAAGGAAAACCCATGTATCATATCATATATACTTGAAAACAAGTTCTGAACAAACATAGCATCTGATCTTGCAAATGTCACACCGTTCCAGCCTCCGGGCCTTGCAAGCTCGGCATAGACTTCGTTCATGTCTGCTCTAGAGACCATACTGAACAGACACAGATACACATGAAGAACGATATAAGAGCAGCTTTCATCTCACATTCCATGAGGCTTTCAAGTCATGGGACATATCATGTTACCTAGGCCAGTTATCAGAGATGTCATTAGTGGTTCTCCAACTGTTGCCCACTTGAAAGCCCCAGAGAGCTGGATGCATATCTCCCCTGACATGAGTTTCGAGTTTAAAGACTTCAGCGAAAGTGGAAACAAGACATACATTTGTTTGAAAGGGAAGATAAGATGGTTTTACCATTCACACAACGAAAAGAAGATGGGGCGACCGGTTTTCATCAGAGCCCGGGTCATCACGGGATACCTAAAACATCATCCATTCACTGTTAAACATTATTCTTTCTAATGGCTAAAAATCCTGAAATCAGTTAATGCATTATATACCTAACAGTTGGCTTGGAGCCATCATTGTTGCAGTTGTCGTACTTCAAGTAATCTATCCCCTGCAGTTTAAGAATGTTTGTATGATGTTATTGCTGTCTGAAAATGAGGTTTGTCCATACGTTTATAAGTTTTGAGAATGTCGGAAAAATGAAAATCATCATACCCATTCAGCAAATGTCATGGCATCATGCTCCTCGTGGCCGAGGGAACCTGGCATGGTTTTGCTGCAAGTGAAGTACCTGAACACCAATCATTGTGAAGTCTACATATATGTCTTCTTACTCTATTCGTTGTTCCAATGATTGAAGAAAAAAATAAAATAAAATAAAAACAAAACTTTACCCGGCATCGGCATAAATCCCGAGCTTAAGGCCCTTCCTGTGAACATAATCCGCAAGGGCCTTGATACCAGAAGGGAATGTTGAATTCTTCGGGACCAGACTTCCCTAGAAAACGTATAGGAACAAATGCAGAAACGTAGAAGAGCTCATGCAACGAGAATCCAAGAACAACTTCTCCGAGAACAAAGACGTATGATAGATGATACCTTGTCATTACGAGAAATTTCTGCCCAGCAGTCATCTGAAGAACAACAAGATTAAGCCGGTTTCAGTACCGTGAACAAGGATTCATGACAAAAGTTTTCCAACAATATTTGATCAATGTTCGAGAACAGCATACCGATGTTAACAAAGGTGTAACCGAGCTTAGAGAGGCCAGTGGAAACGAGAGCATCAGCTGTAACAAGCAAAAGACAAAAAATGGTGGATAAAAAGACAAAAACACACAAGAAAGATCTGACATTTTGCAATGTGAATCAAGAACCGATGCCTTAAAACTAACCAGTTTCTCTAATGATCTTCTCGTTTATGTTACAGCTGAAATGGTTCCAGCTGTTCCACCTGCAAACACCACATTCAAGTTAACTGAGGCAACAAGAGGGACATGAAGAACAGCTTCAAGTTCTGCAAGAGAAACATCCCGAAAATAAAGCCTCATCTACTGCAAATTGGTCAAAGACAGCCACAGATTCACTCATTCACGTTCAGAAGTCTCATTGGCTAAACCACTTAGAACCCATCATTTATTTTTCAATACCCATTTCGGTGGGCCAATCACAATTTCGTCTACCATAAAAAGTTCGCAGCTTTTCAGTTCACTGAGGATGCCCACAAACCAGAACACATGAGAATTTGTATGAACAACTATGAGAGAGAGAGAGAGAACCCCATGGGAGGAGCGAGGCCAAGGCCATTGGCGAGCAAATGTCGTCGGAAGATCTCGGAGTCATCATCGTCGACTCTTCTGGGCAATCTTGAAGACCCAACCATCATCACCATTGACGACATCATCATCATCATCATCATCACCATCTTAGCCCATCTCATTCTCTCCGTCATCTCGAGTTCCTTTCTCTCTATCTTACTCTCCATTTATGCGAAGTGTGACCACAAGGATTCTCAGGCAAAGCACAGAGACAGTGCCCCTGTAGCTCTATACACAGAGAGGTGTGGATTTATGAAATCCGTTTTTCCCATTTCGCCCCTTCAAATCCCATCCCTATAATTTATTTTTCTTCTTCAAATAAAAAGCTCAAAAATGTGAGAGAGATATCTTGTCGGCATTACATGACATTTAATGCACGATAAGTTGAAATAAGCACATGGTCCCATAAAATAAATATAATTTACGAAATATAGAAAAAGAACCTGGTCATTAAAAAGATATATTATATAATTTTAGATATATATTACGTCCTCATCGTGCATGAGGAACCTACTGTGAGATCATAGGATATCTAATTAAAGTTTTAAATATTTTTATTTTTTTGTTATTTTCGTATACTTAAACTCGATCATAGTTTAACAAAACATAAAATAAAGGGGCTTTGCAATTATAGCAGTATAAAATTCTAGATGAATAATAAGAACACTATAACGAAGGGATCCATATAATTTATTTATTTTTTTCCAATTTATATAAGATAGTGTAATGGAGGATGGGTTTCTAGACAAATCCATTCGAAGTTTGGTCCACGGACGCACATTATCTTTAATGGATTTCCTTTTTTTGTTCCAAGTTGTCAAATTCAGTTTGTGTTTGGCTTCTAATATTCCTATACCTACAACGATATCAGAAGGTAAAGATCGTACCCATAACCATCTTATCCATCAATCATCATCATCATCATCATCATCATCATCTTACTAAAAATGACCTTTCTATCAATTTCTTGAACAGCAAGGCACTGATCGTGCAAGTTTCAGACCAAACAGGAGTGAGTGATCCCTCAAGGGAGAACATTCAACATCCTCCCTGCAACTGCTTATTTAGGTAAGTATTTGCTTACCAAGAAGGTGATAATGAGAGAGGGGCAAGTGCTGAAAGTTATATATATTCATTGACTGGACAATGCATCAGAAACCAAAAAGGCATGCATCTGTGGCAAACCAGAACAACTAATGCCACCATAGCTAGGGTTCAAAATCCTTTGATGCTTCGATTCATTAAAACAGAGACTAGGGGCTAAGAGGGTAAAGATGATGGCTTTTTCTAGTAGTCATCCAAAATCTCTTCTTCCTCTTCCTTAGCTTCAACTTCTTTCTCTTCACCTTCATTCTCTGTAGCCTCGTTCTCTTCACTCTCAGCAGCCCCATCACCCTCGTCGGATTTCTTCTCCGCCTCTCCTCCCTCCTAAGTGAATGGTAAGAACAACGCTTAGAACCAATAACCATGCATGTACAAGAAATACGAGGATCAAACTATTAGCAATGGGCATACTTCTTCACTTCCAGCGTTCTCACTTTCCAATGACTTGTTGTATACCGCCTTGAGCTCAGCAGCTTTATCCGTGTACGGCTTCTTTTCCTGAATAAGCAAATCAACCCAATCACAGTAAGAACACTGCAAAATACAGCACGAATATTGCATAAATATATAGCAAACCATTAAAAGAACTCACTTCATCAGTCATAGATTTCCACTTTTCACCACCCTGCTTGGCAACCTAAAAGTAAATCAAACAAGTACATTCAGCACTGTATATAATGTCAATATTCCATGAACACAACGAAAATGGAAACCATGTCAAGCACATATGAACCCAATTACAAAGCTCACATCTTTCACACTGGAACCAGGGTTTTCCTCCTTGAACGTTTTTCTGAAATCATCCCTGGAAAGTAAAGATAGTATCATCAGCATCATCCCACAATTACATCATATGCACTCTGAAAGAAGGGGAAGAGCAAAATTCATGAAAATGAGTAGAGGAATTGAGGATTTACAGGAACAAGAAGAAAGCAGTGAGAGGACGCTTGGGCTTGTTTGAGGCACTGCTCTTTTTCTCATCCTTCAACTTTCTTAATCTCTTAGGCTTAGGCTCATCAGATGTTGGCTTCTTCCTAAACAACAGAAATGATCACAATGATAAAAAGCCATTTCGAGGACAAGAATTCAGTAATACCCCCATCAGATCGATAACGCTAAGATCCTACCTCTCGGCAGGTTTCTTCTTAGGCTCTGCTTGTAATTCAACAACTTGGGCTTCTGAATCACCGAAAAAGGACAGAACCCAACTCAGAATTTCATGACAATAAGATTATGATGACAGAAAAGTAAGACAAGAGTTTGAAGAGCTAATTACCCAGATTCATCTTAATCTTAGCGTCGAGACTGCAACTGTGCATGCTGATAAGGGCCACAGGTACATCCCTTTTGCACTCCTCGCTGAAATCGTTTAATCAATTCCAGTTAAAATTAAGGACGACCCATATTTTCAAAAACTCATAAGAGAACATATCCCAGATGAAATCACCAAACAAGACAACGACTGAAAGGTAAACCCTAAACATATCCCGTAGAAATTACGAAGACAGTAACGAGCCACAGTTTCTCGACCAGAACAAATTAAATTACATCCGTTGGGAAGAAGGAATACCAGCGAGCGAAGGCGCTACCATCTTTGGCACGTAGAAGGGTGGAGGATGATGCGTTCGCGGATTCAGCTTCCACCCTCTTCCTTGGCTTCGGTGCGTTTGCTTTAGAAGATCTGCCTGCCATTTCTTCTTGTACTTCTTCTCAAACAACAGAAAGAGATTCACAGGTAGAAAACTTTCTCACAAAAAAAAAAAACCTTCCCGGGAGAACGATGAGGAATTTCAGAGATGTGAGATGCAAAAGCATAAATGGAAGAATATTAAGAGGGAAAACGAAACTCGTTTCCAAGTTATGGCGCCAACACAACGCGCGAATGTGGTGTTCTCATTAACTTTTAACTTTTTGGCTTGTTTTTGTACTTTGACTTGGATCGATGAGTTGGCAATCCAACGAACGGTCAAGATTTAATTATACATGAATGGGCCTTTTTATTTATTTGGGCCTAAAGGCTCAATTCGGTTTGAGTTGGGCTTCGATCTGATAAAACCGGAATAAACCGGACCAAACCAAATCAAACACCGTGTTTGTTTATCACTAATTATGGATTTAGCCTTTAATCTGCTGATTAAGATAGTACTTAATCCATGAATCAGAGCAAGAGAGGAAAAATATCTCGTCTTGTAAGGGAATTTTCGAAGAGCTTGTCCGAATTTCAGGGGACGCGACGAATCGAATAAGCGGAAGCAATGTTCAGGAATCAGCTGTTTTCACTCTCTGCGTCAACCAACAATCTCAGTTTTGCTTTCGCGCCTTTCTCTGTCGTTCAGACACATCCATTTTCTCCCCAAAAGCGTAATCTTCCAGTCCTTGCTGCCGCGTCTCACAATTCGGACGACGTCTCCGGTGCAAGTGGCGGTTCCTCCGGTGATGACGGCGGAGTCGCGGTGGCGAAGGGGTCCGGCACGACGGCGAGAGGGAGGAGACTCCTCAAGGTTCGGGAAGAGAAGAGGAAGCGCGAATACGATCGTCTCCACAATTACCCTTCTTGGGCCAAGTACTCGTTCTCCATTTTTGTACTCCAAGCGTTTGCCTTTTTGCTCCATTGACAACAAAGCTTGAAAGCTTGATTCTTTAGTGCATTTATCCACTCTTTTTGGCAGAGATTCACGAGGTTTTTATGTACAGAGTATTGGAGAATGCGTGTAAAGAGGATGAAGAGCTTCGAGCTGTTCTTGGCGATAGTGTTGGGGATCCAGAGCTCATGAGAAAAAAAGTGTGTGGGTTGTCTTCCTTTATCACCGTGACGTGAATCTCATCGCATACTGTAGTTTATGTGCAAATCAAAATTTGATATGCTAAAACTTCCTTTTTTGCTGCATAAGCAGATTTGGTGTTATATTTCAATGGAATTGATTATAAAATCCATCTGTATACGTATTGTACAGGTTGAAGAAAGAGTGAGGAAGAAGGGAAGAGATTTCCAAAAGCAGAAGACTGGTTCGGTGCTTGCTTTCAAAGTTAGCTTCCGAGAGTGAGCAACTTGTTTCTGCTTCTTTACCCTTTCCCATTCTCCCCTTCATTTGAAGTCTGCATTCCTTGAAACCCGGTTATAATTTCATACGTTGAACTACACCTTATATGTTGTGGACTTAGATAATAAAAGAAGAGGAAACTGGATAGGTAATCGGATGGAAGAGGAATTTGTCTCTTTCACCTATATAGGTGATCGGGATCGGGCTTTACAGCAGTACTTATTGAGGATACTGCTTAAGTCTGTCTGGAAATGGAGCTGAAATGAGTGACAAATTCGCTTTAATTTGCAAGAAACTAGGAAAATAGGGGAAAAAAAGGATCGCTGATGTAGTTGAAGAATACAATCTCTTTACTTTATATTGCTATCTTATAACCATTACTCACAATGTACTAGTTTCCTATTTGAATGGGTGCAGTTTCAATCCCGTTGACTCGTTTATATGGTTTGAGCTCTATGGATCACCATCTGATTGCGATGTTGACCTTATCGGGAGTGTAAGATGCTAATCTTTTTCTCGCTATTACTGATGTTGAGTTTTAATGAACAGCTGATGATTTAGATCATTTTTTTATGTTTCAGATTTTTCCTTTTGTCCACTTTGTCTTGTGCACATCTCTGACTGATGTTGTCAACAGGTTATTCAAGCATGGTATGTTATGGGGCGATTGGGTGCTTTCAATACATCGAACTTGCAGGTTTGTTTATTGTTCACTATTGATTCCTGTTACTTGGGATTAAGGCGATGTTGATGTTGATTGATTCCTGTTACTTGCCCCATTGTCTCGGTGACCATATTACACATTTCAGTTGCTTTATGTAGTTATATACACCACATCACCTGTACATTCCTATGATTTGTGGTATTAACATTTTGTTACTCAGCGGGGTTTCTCAGATTAGTTACGATCTTAGGTTCCTGGGATCGCAGGGAAAACTTGGGCGTAATGTATTATATTGGGATCAGTTTCTAGAGTGAAGTTTTTTTTTTCACTTTCATCAGAGGCATAAGTCCTGTTTGTTTGTCTTCTAGCTAGTCAGGCTTCTTCTTGCTCTCTTTCACCTGGAGTTCACAAATGCAAACCTGATCAGTTATTTTTATTGTAATAGTAAATCCTCCTCAATAAGATAATGAAAGCTGAAATGGGTTTCACCTTCTTGTTAGTTCTTTTTCCTTCTTGGGACCTTCCCCATGAATTAACAACACAATTTTTAATACAATGGCAGTTAGCAAATTCATCAATGGAGCATGATCCTCTCTACGACGCAGAAAAGGGTTCCAAGGTGATGCCATCATCGTTCCATGATATCAGTGACGTCGAGTTTCAGGACAATTGGGGTCGTGTTTGGTGGGAATATCTTACCGACATATTCTTCTTCTGCCTCCGATACATGGCTACGATATGAATTTAACCCTCTTGTGTCGCAGGATTGACCTAGGTACTTCTGATATATTTGCCATCGATGTACTTCTAAACTCCTTGACAGTTCTGAGTTCAGAGTAAGTCCTGGCCTTTCCATCTGTTCCATCTCAATACTGTATATATCTTATGCTTCCTACAATGCAGAAAGCCCAATTTCCCATTCCACTTCATACATTTTTTAAACACGGGCAGTGACTGATGATATGAGTTTCAGGTACTTGGGCATTCAACAAGTAGTATTCGGGGGACGAAGAATGGGAGATTGGGAAGAGGGCATGACGGATCCTGGTTTCGGGTACAAATACTTCAAGATCTAATGCAACAGTAACCAACAGAACCATTCGCCTGTAACAATGTCTGAAATGAGCTTCTGTTTTTTGGTCTGATATCCAATGTCATTTACTTTTTTAAGTAGACCAGATGTTTGGTTCATGAGAACACAGAACCGAACACTTCTTGTATGCCATTAGCAAAACACAAATCCAGCAAATGCAGAAATACATACACTCTTGCTCTATGGGAAGAAAGAACACTCCACAAAAGAATACCTAAACCAGCCGAAACGGCTCTCTACAAGCCAAGTAAGCCTGAGTATGCAGAAGTTTTTGCCTCGGAAGCAAAAAGATTAGTCTTCCATGGTTAATGTAGTTGTGTCATCATCATTGTTTGTTAGAATCTCCTTTGCAACCAAATCCACGTCAAGAAGTAAAGGATTGGGGCAAAGATGGTTCTTCTCCGACAGGACAGGAAGGTTAGCTTTGGTTGGATTTGCATCTTTTCCATTTGGAACTTCCTGTCTGATTAGAATCTTGAAACTTCCTGGAATGCTAGATTGAGTTCAGTGGCGGACTTAGCCACCAATCCTCCTCTTCTACACAGAGCCACAAAGCAAAAGCATACGAGCCATTCAATCCTAACAACGACTTACCAATGATTAACTCTCTCTTCATTGTTCATAAGTTACAAACAACTACTGACCTCACTAGAGATGTAAGGCATGCCTTTACTTTCTCAAGTTCAACAAAGCAACGGCTGCAACGCTCAATCCTATGTGGCAGAGTTCCAAATAAGATTTAAGTTATAATGAATGATACAATATGGTGGTGATGAAATGATACAGATGAGATAAAGAAACCAACCCACCTTTCCTCTGCTTCAATATCTACGCCAACAGATGATGGTGCAGAGAGTGATGAGTAAATCAGTGAACCGTACATCCTGACAAGCTTAAGCAGCAAATCCAGGGACACGCTCAAATGCCTAGAAGCAAGTTTATTGTTAAAAAAACACCAGTAGAACATATCATGGACAGTTGAGGGATGATATCTCAATAATGTGGCATTAAAAACCATGACATTTTACAAGGATGGTTAGGTTGTCACACGAAGTAAACAAAATGCAAAGTCATATTCAGGCATAAGAAGAACCTTGCATTATTGAAACTGAACTACAATGCGATCTTTTGATCAACTGAGTTGGATGACAACCTTTGACTAGAGCACACATAATGGACTGGAGACCCTTTAAACTCCTCAAATGTCTCCAAGCATGAAAATCAAACAACTTCTCCAGTAAATGAACTACGCTGAGCTAGAGGAACTATCTAACCACGTCACATGATGAGTAAATAACCCCAACTATAGTCTCTCAGTTCACACCCTAAAGGGTAAAGACAACCCAGCAGAACCTTTGTCAACCAGAAAATGTACAAACATCTAGATGTGAGCATCAGTGAAACTAAATTTCAATTTAAAAAAAGGACAAGTTTCAATTTAAAGAAGTTCATGTTTACCTTTCCATTTCGCTCCCCAGAAGAATTGTCAGAAGGGGAAGAAGAGAGGTACAAATATCCAAGGTTAGAATATCAATTTTCTCAGTTACCACACTCAATACATCCACAACGACCTGTAACCAGTGAAGAAACGGGAATCATGTTACTTTCTTTAGAGATATACATGCTATCTATACATAATTACAGGATAAATGGACTCACAGCATTATCAGCCATCTTTTCCATCGCCTCTATTGAATTTTTGACATCATTTCTTTCCCAATGTCTACGAACCACCTGCAGGCAGTTACTGAATTTATTTAAAACAATAAAATCTAATACTACTAGAACATATGTTTGGATATGCTAAGTATTTGCCTCATTTTTTTTATAAATATATACAGTAAGCTACGTGCAATTTAGATGTTCATGACATGTGGCACATCATGAAGAATCCAAAAGAACTAATAACTACCAATCAAATTAAGAAGACTGCATCAACTACAGGTCAATGAAGAAGACCAAGTCATAAACAATAATAATCTTAACTGATACTTTCTTTGCAATTACCTGTAACTTAGCCAAACGAGACTGCATAGAGCTGACAAATTGATCATGCTGCTCCATTATATCTACAACAATATCCTCTTCGCTAGCTGAACTGATCCCTTCTGCAGGTGATAAATGGTTTCCTCTTGGCTTGAACTGCAGGAAAGAAGATATTGTATGCATTAGTGGCTAGTCATCAGAAAAATGTAAGAAGAAGCATGACTTGACTTGGTGTTGCTGATTAGTAGCCTGGGATATTACTCGATCAGCCACTCTAGTGTCCAGAACAATAAATACAATTGTACAACTGTAGAATGGACAACTCGAATTCCTAAAGGATTTCGGGCCCTTTTGTGTACCATGAGGTACCTTTCAAATCTTTCTGATCTGACGGTATATATTGTAGGCAAACAAGAAACTGTTGCTTGTTTGAAAATGAAACTACTGACAACAAAACTTGAGACCATTACCGTATTAGAAGGGCGGACGTTTTGGGCAGATATATTTCCACCAGAAATACTTGAAACAGGCCCCTCAAAGTTGGAAATTCTCCCTCTTCTCTCCCTATTTATGACGAGGGAATGCAGTTTTCCTATTATGTTAAATGCACAAGGATGAGAATCTATTCAATTGCACACAAAAAGATGATAAACGAAAACAAAGAATTACCTCCTTTTTGACTTTCAGATGGATCGGGATCTCTATTTGCTCTGTAGTCCGTTACGTCATCTGAAAAAGAAAATTTAAGCTCAGAACTCAAGATCTCAAGAGAAAAGAAAACATGCAGATATATTTTAGAAGCCGCATAAAAACAACAAAGTTGTGTTATCCAAACATATGACACCTTAAAAGCACTATATATCCCTCAAGCTTGAATCATCCCAAAATTGTGCATGTTTCTCATGGTAGCAAGGATTTTATAAATACTTTTCACAACTCCGCCAGAAATTCAGAAAACAATAGATCATATTTGATGGGACAAATGGTAAATAGAGATCAGATGGCATTCACATTTCGTACAAAAATGTTGACAAAACCAACCAACCACAATAAAACAGGTAGAGATTGGAAAGGCATGTACACATACAGTTTTCGTCATGGTTCCTTGGAGGTGATCCCACCAGTGATCTTGAACCACTCCTGCCGAATCCCATATACCTATAATTGTTAGCTTTCCTCCCAGCAGCAGATGTACCCTGTGTACCGCCCTTGACACTAGGAAATGAATTCCCATCCAAAGTAGTGCTTGGTTCAGTTGCCTGAGAGCTAGACCTTTCAAGAAGGGATGTGGTTGGCAGATCTGGCTCATTTCTGTTGCTTGGCAACCTTCGAGGATCAGATGCTTTTGACTGCAGCGAGTATGGCATGGTTCTTCCAATTATGTCAAGCTCTGCCCTGGATTCAGCTGTCTGCTCATCGCTAAGGTCTGATCTGGGTACAATAACTGGAACAAAATCTGCTTTGTTCATTACAGGAGGATTCACTGACGGGTTAGCTCTGGCAAAATTCCTCTTTGAGGTAGCAGCATTAGAAACAGCAACCGGAACACTGGAAGTGGTCTTTGGTGCATTGCTTAAACCAACCCTATGAGGAGTGCCTGGTACACTTCCTGTAGCTTCAAGCAACATATAAAACGAGGAAAACATGGCTCAATAAGCAGAAACATGAACAAGAAGAGAAAAATGAAATATAGAATGGATAATTCTAAATTTAGACAACAAGTCAACATACAAGTCAAAGTCCTTGACTCTTTAGCTGGATCTGAATTGTGAGAAACTGCCAACCTCCCGAGAGGCTTTGTTTCCTTCAACAATGATTCTGAGCTTTGAGATACTAATAACCTTCCAGTAGACTTAGCTTCCTTTGCCAAAGAATCGGAGTTTTGAGAAACCGATAATCTTCCGAGGGTCTTTGTTTCCTTCAACAAAGGATCTGTGTTTTGCGAAACAGACAGCTTTCCAAGAACAGCCTTTGAGCTGTTATCATTCAGAACCACTGGATCTCTGCCTGAGCTAGATTTCTTCTCAGAGTGACCATTTGGTTGAGTAGCTCCTCCAGCCACATATGGTTCAGTGCGCTGATCATGTAATTAGAAAATGATGACTTAGAAATGACAATTGACACCCATAAAGTGGAAGGTCACGCGATAGCAAAATATGTACAAAGGCAGAGCAGTACCGAGAGATCCACAACCCATACACCTACACAACTTTGATTGTATGAGCAACCAAGAAGCTTTCCCTCATGAAAATTCAGATCTGATAATCTTGACCATCCAACATCCACCCCATCATGACATCTAATTGGCTCCCAAGAAAAAATCTACAATTTGCACTAAAGTTAGAACCAAAGGTACGATATAAGGACAGCAAGCATTAGAAACACATCCTCCAAAGAGAGTTCGACAGGTCAACCTTCTTTAAGTAGACATACCATATCCTCGTGATCAAATTGTTGAAAGAACTTACCTTTAGACTTTCATGCAACCCACAAAGCACAGTCTTCCCATCTGGATTAAATGTCAAGCAGCGAACACCAGTGGACTAGGAGGAATGAGAATGTTAGAAACTTGAATGAAAAGGTTGAATGCTAAAAGATCTAGAAGAACTAGAACAACACATGAAACCTCAGATCCAGCAGAACCAATCAGCTCAAAGGTTTCAAGGTCCCAAAATTTTACAGTCCGATCAGCTGAACCTGTTACCAAGGAAAAAATAAGATACAAGTCCAATATTGTTATTTTATGTTGTAACAGGATCAAGCATTATTTTCATGCATATATGTTGTGATGTTAAATCATAAGGTACGAGGAAAGCTGTGAGTTAGAAAAAGGAAAAGATGGTCAAGATAATGTCATGAACAACAAATGATATTGGAGCTGATTAATACAATACTGCAGTTGTGTTACTTCATATCACTAAGAAGCTAAGTGTTTCTTTTTGTTAATGTACTGTCATAGCAACTGTCTTATGTCTCTCCTAAATACATGAACTTCGATGTTAAGCAACTTTTCTAGAGAGTACAACAAACCTGTTGCCAGTAGAAATTCATGGGGATGAAAATCTAGGCATTGAATTTGGCCCTCATGGCACTTGAAATCGTGCAACAGTTTACCAGCGGTCAGATCCCAAACCTGTTGAAGGCCAAATAGTGAGGGACATGTACAAACAGAAACAAAAATCCCAGGAGTTTAGCTTTTCAGGATAACAAATACAGGAGGTGGTGCAAATCTCTGAGAGGTAAGGACGATGTCTATTGCAGAGTGTCATCCATGGTAGTACATATAGCAAGGAAAATTAAAACAGAGTTTTATTCTCTTAAAAGACTATCGACCTTCAACAGTCCAACACCTATTTCTACTTTATTCAAAATATAATCCGGATTTTACCAGAGTTCCTTGAAAAAGAATAACTCTAACTAGTTTGTAACAATGAACATTGAATGCTCAGCAGTTGTCCTCCCCAATGCACAAGACAGTCCCATACCAAACAAAGGAAAACAACCGAGGACAGTAAACACAGATACTAACCTTCACAATGTTGTCCTCCCCACCAGATACAACCCACCGACCATCAGGGGTGAATCTGAGTACATTGACTCCTCGTGTGTGACCCTTGTAAGTATGGATGCAACCCTTTTTTCTTATGTCCCATATCTTTAGATTTGTGTCGAGAGAGCCAGATGCAAAGAACTCACCAAAAGGATGAAAATCCACCGCAATGCAATTAGACCTATGACCGGTGAGAGTTCTGACAACTATCCATAATGCGACCACCACGGGAATGTAGTTAAACAGACAGACAAACGAGTTGAATTGTTGATGACAAGAAGAAAAAGAAAAGTGTAGTATGCATCTTCATGGTATCACTATACTTACCCTTAGCCTCCTCCAAATCCCAAATTTTGATAGTACCGCTTGCAGCTCCTGCTGCTACTAAGACTTCCGAAGCATCAAAAGTGACTGAATCTATTCCACTCGAGTGCCCATACAAGCTCTGACCAAAAACACCCACATAAAAAGAAGTTTTCAATATGCATTTCTGAGCTATATATATTTAAGGGCATCTCCACTTTCAAACATAGTACTGAAGATGAGTACAGGCTTCTTGCTACAACATTCTACATAATTTACCAAGGCAAGCCACCATTGAAGCAGAAGAAGGAGAACTAACCAGAATGGCATTGGGCTTACCAATAGCCCAGAGATTGACCTTGTGATCTTCCCCACCCGTTACAAGAACCCTCGAAGACTTCCTCCCGATCTTGAGACAATTCACAGCAGCAGAATGTGCCACAAATTCCTCTATCATCCAAGTCAAGTCTCAACATCGTTACCAGATAAGACTCGAGTCAAAATTGAAACTTGACTAGTTGTCTAAAATTCAGCGAGAAATACTGAGAGGTACAAATTATAACACAAATCAAGATAGATCTCAGGAAGTTGACTCGGGAAACCCCCGAGCTAGAAGCTGCAGATCAAGCACGGCAGTGGATGCTAAATCATGACGCGCCAAAGAAAAAACCCTAGAAGGGGATCCCGAGAAACATGAAAGTAAACAACAATGGTAGAGGATACGGAGCTTGTAGGCGCGCTTGGTGGTCATGGCGGAAACGAAACCCTTAGAGCGTCGGACATTCAAAATCCTCTACCAACCAGGCAAAATATCAGAAACCCGGAAAGGCGGAAAACAGCCGAGATCCAGTCTTCAACTCTAATCGACAGAGCGACAATCTGAGACACCAAACGGGGGCATAGATCAGAAAACCGAGAAAAACGGAGAAAACCCGAAACGAATCACACCTTCTGGAGAGAGATGATATGATAACGACGAAAACACGCCATACCCAGAAAGCTCTCAGCTTCTTACCCACCAAACGAGAGAAAACCAGAACGTCAATCCCACTCCTCTTGCCTCTGGGTCGCGGAATAGCGGGCCGTGGGAGAGAAGGTGAGAGGGAGATGGGATTGGAAAACGAGGAAGCAGAAGCAAGAAAACGGATGTGAGAGGATGGAGAAAACGTGGTTGTGTCCCTTGAACAATAAGAAAATCAGAGGAGGTGGTAGAAGCGTATATTTAAGTGTTTCGCTAATGGCGAAGTAAAAAGAGAAAGGAATGACACAGACAAGGAAGTAAGGAGAGAAGAGAGAGAGAGAGAGAGAGAGAGAGAGAGAGAGAGTCTTACAAAAAATTTGTCCTTTGGTCAGTCCATTGTCATGTCACTGAATTTAATTTCACCGACCGAATAACCTAAATCTGTATTAAATAAATTATACGATGCGATTGTAGTAAAACATTTGCAGCTAAACTTTTGTTTTCTGAAGCCACAATTGTTGCTGATGGGGATAAGCTTATATGATTATCGAATTTATTGGATTTTGGTGTACAAAATGGAAGGATAAACCAACGGGTTAAAATTTGGATTTTGTGATGATGGAAATGCAATGAGTGAAAGAATGACATGTTGCAATCATTTCCTTCCATCATTAAGATTCAAATTAAAACCTTAAATACTCCACTCCAAGTGGAACTACTTTTTAACACCCCACACTTGTTTTCGCCCCTTTTCTCTCTATTCAACATGTTTTTTTAAAAAAAAAAACCAACCCTAACAATTACAATGATTAATTAACAAACATATGTATCTATTTTACTTATTGCCTTCAAAGCTGGTCCATTTGGGATAATAGTATTTAAAATTTTAAAAATCACTAACGAGTTAAAAAAAAGTTAAAAAAAGGGGTATTTTTATCTTCTCCCACAATAGAGCAAGAGTTTTTATATGTGGGGATGGATGCTGCTGACCCAAATGAATGTGACCATTGTAGCTTTGGCTTACACTGTGGTGATGCTGTCCTTGGCTCTTTCTTTCACCATTGTCTTCACAAACAGCTCTCCTGCTCTGTATGAGGACCTTACCTGCATTTATCCACACAAAAAATAAATCCAAAACCAACATTTTTCTTATTCTTCATTTGAACAAATCCAATGAATGATCAAGTTAATGATTAGACAGAGCTGCTTACCAATGGCCCGCTTGCAACATATCGAAACCCTATTGATTCCCCGTACTCTTTCCAGTATTCAAATTTCTCCGGCGAGACATACTCTTTTACAGTCAGATGCAAGGGAGTTGGCTGCATTGTGTGTAGCCGAAGAGATATAAAGATTAGGGTTTCTTGTATCACATTTGCAGGTTTTGACACTAGGAATGGAAAGGTCGAAGTTTGGTATAACAAAAAGGAAAACTATCTGAAAGAAAATGTTCATTGGATTGGCAAAAAATCTCTCTATGCTGGAATCTGGTAAATAGAGTGCTAGAATACAATATTTACCTGTAAATACTGTCCAAGGGTTAGAATATCAACATCTATAGCCCTTAAATCAGCCATTGCTTCCTTCAACTCATCATCTGTTTCGCCCAGACCCAGCATTATCGATGTTTTGGTGATCATTCCGGGCTTGCTAATCTTTGCATGTTTCAGAACCGATAAGCTCTGTTCGTACCTGCAGTTGCACAGGTGAGCTACATGAAGGAAGCCTAAGCCTACCACACGAAGAAAACACAGACTATACACCAATGTTTCCCTTTTACCAATGTGTTTGAGGAAGCCATCTCCCTTAAAGCTAACTAATTTTGTAACTAAAAACACATGGGCTTTGCTGAAATTTTGAATAGAGACTGGATGAGTAAAATATTGAACTCATGGCAAATAATGTGAAATGGAAATTGTTGATCAGTCCATCTATCAGGCATTGTTTGTGGGCATATAACATTATCTGATATCGGATAAGCAACCAGCACTTATTAAGCCCTAGGTTTATTACAGAACATAACCCTTCTGCCTTGAACAAGAAAGAAGCACTCACCCGGCCCTAGGATCCCTCACAATTCTCTGAAGCCTTTTCACAGTCTCGATGTTGTGAGCAAAAACATCCAACCCAGAGTGCACGAGAGTGTCCACAGCCTCAAAGTCTCCACGGAAATCAGAAGTTAAGCACTCTACCATTATATCTGGCTTGAGCCTCTGTCGAATGTACAACAGCACAAAAAATGCTATTCAACAAAAATCTTGCCAAAACCTTCCAATAACAAGTGAGCTTATTTGATTATTCCATTACATCTAACTTCCAAAGATAAAATGGTAGGTAAAAAAATATAGACTGACCTTCATAGCTTTGACAGTCTGTGCAAAATGTCCGCTCCCGCCATCGGGTAGATCATCACGATCTACACTTGTGATAACTATGTATTCTACACTGAAACAATGGAAAAACAAGAAATCATAACTTTGAACTTTCACTTTTAAATGTTCACACCAATTTGCAGACTTGAATAACTTGGCTTTAAATGTTCACATCTCCTGATTCTCACTCTTACTTTGAAGGATCACTTGATAAGTTACTCTTTTCGATAACTTAGCTAAAACAAGACTAGACAGAAGTGTTTACCGTTACTACCACACACAGAGTGAAAGAGCAAGGCAAGACATCTGATATCACCCTAACTAAGTTTTACCAAAGTAGCTCAAAACCGATTTCTCTAATTGAACACTGGCCAAGACAGCAACCCCTCATGTACACACAAGTACCTAAGACTTGCCTATCCATTTCCTCAAGAATAGACTGATCTTTGACAACCGAAGAGGAAAAGCGTTACCCAGAACTGGAAAAGAAAACAATGGCAATCACTCACCCCCAGCTCACAATTGCCTTGGCCGTGTTCTCTGGCTCGTCCGGGTCAGGAGGAGCAGGATTTGTACTGGTTTTAACCGCACAAAATCTACAGCCACGGGTACAAGTATCACCCAGAACCATGATGGTCGCAGTAGCTATACCATCACCTCCACCATTCCAACACTGCAGCAAAACAAGCGCATACCCGCAATCACATATACATATATACGGCAGAAATCATACACATATCAGTAAATGGAGGGGGCAAAAGAGGAAACCTCGCCGATGTTGGGGCACTGAGCTTCCTCGCAGACGGTGTGGAGATTGAGGCGAGAGAGGGAGCCCTTGACCTCCAGAAACCTCTCCCCCTGCGGCGCCTTCTGCCTCAACCAAGAAGGTTTCTTGACGTTGGGGTCTCTTCCCGTGAAGGGCCCCATCTTCGGCCTTCCTCCAGGGTAAGGCGCACTCTTCTCCAGCTCGATCGGATTCTTCGCCGAATCCTCCGCCGCCGCGGCCGGCAACTTCGCATTGGTCCGACGCGACAGATCGGCGGATTCGCATCGGATTCGGACGGGAAAAGGGCGCTTGTGGATAGGAATTGAAGCAGGGAAGGAGGGTTTTGGAATGGTGGAGTGGTGAATCATTTCGGAAAATAAAATAAGAATTCTCCCAAAGGAAGCAGCGGTGGAGATGCGAAGGGAGAGTGGTTTGGCTTTACAAGGAGTTGGACGACATCTTCGGTATTGCCGCCCGAACAAAACTATGTGAATGCTATATTAATCGAATAATAATACTTTTGAATAATTATAATATAGATATAGATATATATATATATATACGCCATCTTCTCTAACCAGAAATTAATATATAAATAAATTTACCACCAAGAGGACTTAAATTCGATCGGCACGATACTTCGGGCTTAAAAACAACTACGACGAAGAGATCTTAAACCCCATTTTGAACTCTGCCGATGATTTTGCATTAACATCTTTTATGAGATCGAAGGAAAACCCGAAATGAAAACAAATAAATAAAAAAAGTAAGTTTGCCGTGATTATAACAATAAGAATCAAATCAGAAAGAGAAACAGAAACCAGGGCTAATCACACAATATTAAAAGGATTAATTAAAATCAACAAAAAACATTAACACCCTCTCACATTTCACATGCATGGAGATGTTTATACATGTATATGTCAATATGTATACAGTATATATATATATGCCATGAAGGATTTATACCAAAATACGATCCATTGACATGTCCAACAGCAAAAAAAAACTCAAGTCTGCAACAATCGTCGTCTAAAACTCATAAAAAAACTCAAAATGACCCCAACGAACAAAGAACAGAAAACAAACAAGGGGGGGGCAAAAGGATATACAATGGACATCACAAGCGGATGGGTTAATTACTTCATCATCATCAACATAAGCCACTCTAATGTTATCTGAAGCCGACAAAAAGAGTTCATCAAAGATATAATAACAACCCGCTCTCTTCACACAAACACACTTTCACTCACTTTTCAACGTATTTATTGTTATAATTATAATTATACACGTCGGGAAGGATGATGGCCGATGAGTCTGCACTGCTCGGGAAGCATTGAGGACATTACCTGTCCGTTCAGTGGGAATAGCTCTCCGTCTATACCACACCCATTATGCGTCTTGCTCCCTCCCCTTATCTTCACTGATCTCACCTGCACATTTCACACACATATATTATATATACATATACGTGTAAAAGATCATGGACAATGGAAATATCCCCCAAGGCAGATTATACGATCAAACAGGGAGAACATATGAAACTCGAGGGGGTGGGGGAGGAAAACACGCTTACCTTTACGCATTCTACGTATGGAAGGGAAAGGTGCCGACCCAATTGCAGAAGCACGAAAAACCTCATCAGTCTCAGCCGGCCACTCCCGTTAACCAGGATCATGTCCATGGTGCTGTCATCGTGTTCGGCCTTTGGTGCCACCACTTGCGAACTCTGCACCGTCCTACACGCATGGTTGCACACTATGATCCCTAGAAAATTGCCCTTCTTAGCCACCCACTTGTCTTCAAATCTCGGTGTGACCTCCCCCTTCTTCATCCCTGTTTCTACGTCTTCTGGCGGTCCGGGCAGCTTGATTGAATTTTTCACAA